CAGCAGAAGGTGTGGTGCAGATTAGAGGGGTCTTGCCACTTCAAAATATTTGAATTAAAGGTTTGTCTTCCCCTTCGAAGATCCAGTTTAGAAGTGGACATTCTAACTTCCAATTATTTAATTAAGAAAAAAAAAACTACCTCACAGGTCTTTCCCACCATTTTGAGGTTTTAGTTAATTCCAGAGGTAGTTGAAAACCAAGATTAGCCAGCACACACAGGTATATTATGACAAGTACTGTTTTGTTTGACTCCTTTGATGTACATTCCTGCTGTTTCATTGTCTGTTCCTCAGCTTGTATGCCTTAGTTTGAATTTAGAATGCCTCATAAGAACACTATTGGTGAAGAAGTGGAGCCTTTAAAAGATTGGGCCCTCTTCCCCTTTCTGAACAAAACAGGAAGTGTGGGTGTGGGAGGGCAGTGGGCAGCAAGCATGGGTAGGGGTTACAGGAGGAGAGGACAGAGGGGAAACTACAGTTGGGATATAAAGTAAATCAAAAGATTTGACTAATTAAATAAAGATTAGGCCTCGCTGGAGATCTTTCAGGCACTGAGGGCTTACATTTGAAAAGAATATTACAATAAGGAAAACAGATCCTTCCTGTCTCTTCTTTTCTGTATCTGACTGGCCATGAGGTGAATGAGTCTCTTCTGTCACTTGTTTTATCATGAGGGATTGTGTCACCACAGGCCTAAATCATTAGATTCAACTGATCATGAACTAAATACCACACAAACTGTGGTCCAAGATAAATGTTTTCTTTGGTATTTTTTATTAAGAATAAATAAATAAATTTGAAAATTAATGAAGAAAATATTGGGGAAATATATTTGCACATAAATCAACAACTCATGAAGAATATAGGTATTAAAGATATTTATAAGATAATTAACTATTAGATAGCAAATTACCACACTTAGTGGCTCAATAAATATTTTTTCCTTAGCTTATTATTTTCTTCTCACATCTCATAAGGCTGAAATTAAGATGTAAGTGAGACTACGTTTGTGGTACTTTGAATGCAATTGGACCCCATAAGCTCATAGAAAATGCCACTATTAGGACATGTGTCCTTGTGGAAGTAGGTATAGCCTTGTTGGAGGAAGTGTGTCGCTATGGGGACAGGTGTTGAGGTCTCTTATGTTCAAGTTTCCCTCAGTGTGACTTTCGGAGCATTTCCTGTTACCTGCAAGATATAGGAATCTTGGCTACTTCACCAGCACCATGTCTTCCTGCACACCACCATACTCCCCACTCTGGTGATATCTTGATTTTACAAATAAAGCCTGTGTGAAGGTCAGAGAATGGCGCTTGCCACTAGCAAACCATAGCCAGCTGTCTCTGCCATTTCTCACATTTTTTTGAAGTTGCTTGCTCAAACTTCCTGTTTACTCAGTTAATATTTCCTTCTCAAGTCTCTGAGGGAGTTGAAGACTAGATAGTATAATTATAGTTTTCCTTGTTTACCAGAATCAGTAAAGAAACTCACTGAAGATGTGTTAAGTGTAATAGGTTTGAAAGACATTAAAAGATAATTTGATAATGCA